TCCCTTTCAGCCTTTTTCCATAGCCTTTTCAGGTTGTTTATATCGTCATTTCATCCATTTTCATTGCCTTTTCACGCACTTTTCAGCCTTTTTCCATCGCCTTTCCACCCTCTTTTCATCGTCTCAGCCTTTTCCATTTTTTTCACCCTCTTTTCATAGTCCCTTCAGCCTTTTTCCATCTTCTTTCCACGCTCTTTTCATAGTCCCTTCAGCCTGCTCCATTTTTTCACCCTCTTTTCATAGTCCCTTCAGCCTTTTCCATCGCCTTTTCACGCTCTTTTTATCGTCTCTTCAGTCTTTTTCCATTTTTTCCACCCTCTATCTATCGTCACTTCATCCTTTTTCATTGCCTTTTCACGCACTTTTCAGCCTTTTTCCATTGTATTTGCACCCTTTTTTCATCGTCCCTTCAGCCTTTTTCCATCGCCTTTTCACGCTCTTTTTATCGTCTCTTCAGCCTTTTTCCATTCTCTTTCCACCCTCTTTCCATCGTCACTGCAGCCTTTTCATCGCCATCATCTTCTTCATGCCTTTTCATTATATTTTCCACTACTTAATCCTACACATCCACTAAATCAACCAAATCAAGCATCACCATTTTTTAAATAGATATTTCTCAACAAAATTGTCTACCGAATTGTTTGCTTCTTATATTCACTGCTTTTGCGTAATTGTTTCTACCGTTTTTTCACCGTTGTTACACCACCTTTTCCACCACCCAATCTAACACATCCCTACATCTACCAAATCAGCTAAATCAAACAGCATCCCTTTTTGAAGAAACTGCTTCAACAAAATATGCATCCACTTTTTTCCATCACATTTTCAAACAACTTTTATTATCAAGACTATCACCAACCAAATCACTCCGTATTTTTGATCACTTTTGGTATATGATAGCGATTAATAGTGGATGTTAGATGTGGTGGAAAAAAGCTACTCTAAAGTGGTGGACAATTTTGTTAAGAAAAGTCTCTTTAAAAAGTGATGATGTTTGATTCGGTTGATTTGGTGGATGGAGTGGATGTGTTAGATTGGGTGGGGGACAAAATGATGGACAATATGGTGAAAATCGGTAAAAAAGTTGGATAAAAGTCGTGGATAAAAGCCAGTCCTCCAATTCTTAACTTAAAAATCAAAGTTTTTATGTAAATTCCTTTCTTAGTAACCTGAATTCTGATTAAGCTTTGAAAGTTTTTCGGACATGTAGTTCAACCATGGCTTTCAGTTTGCGCAAAAGTTTTCCTTGAAATCTTTTAGTTTAGCCATAATTTTTAAACAAAAATTTGATGTTTTGACTTCATACAGTCACCATTGAGATAATGCACCATCGAGATAATGCACTCATTTTTTCAATGGTAACTATTAAGGAGGAGTTAGATCTACTTTTGAATTTCGTCAAATTTTGATTCGATTTCTTTAATTATCAATTGACTTAATTCAATTTTCTTACGTGAAATTTTAATCCAAAAACTCGCAAAATCAGATTAAAGCAAAATTTAAGGTTAAATTTGATCTAATAAGGAAGATTGAAAATCATGAATTACGCTGCCCGAAGAATAGTGAAAATAAGCTATTCCCAGCGCGGTGCATTATCTCAATGGTGACTGTACAACAATGTTGAGTGTCATTTTGTCTTTCTTTGATTTTTTTCTTTCTTTTTTACTGTCTATTTTAGTCTCTTTTTTATCTGATTTTCCTGAGTTTCAGGGTTGGGTTCTAAAAATTTGTATATTTTTCCGGCGACATTCAGGCAAAAATCTTTCATTTGCGATTAACAGAAAATTTATAGACCGTTTGAGTGCGGAGAAATTTTGACAGAAAAATACCAAAACGGTATTAATATATAAGATTGAACCTGGGAGTATTACGTTAGTAATGCAATATGAGTTCAGTGCAACAGTTTAATAAGACTACAATGTATACTACTGTAACTACTAACTGTTGACTACTAACTGACTGTAATTCAGTGACTTATGAAAAAAGTTGCAGATTATTTAATTCAGTCTTTTTAGAGTCTTTCAAGTCGACAAGTGTTTGGCTGCATCATTTATTAATACGTACACTTTTAGAGTCTACTTGTTATTATAAATTTCATTGATGACCAGGTTTTGTAAAGATCTGTGATAACCAGTCTCGAAACAATTCGTATTTTTGCATATAATTTCACCCATTTCCCGGAATTTTTCAACAGCCACCATTAACCTGTAAAGATTGTCTGAAGCGTCACAGGGCGATTCGCAAACTGACTCCAAATATCGCTTAAGCAGATGTATGTAAATATATTGTTCATGCCTGTGTGTACAAAACATTGATTAGAAAATTGCAAGACTTCGAGAGGGCGTTTTTTCTGGTTATTTGGGTTCATAACTTAGAAAAACGAATGTTAAAAAGCAGTATAAATTTTATTTAAAAAGACCATCGTACTTACCTGACCGAATCTGCGAATATGAGTCCAACTTGATCAGGGTTGAAAATAATTAATAGACTAAGCAAAGTTTCAACTACTTCATCCTTTCTCCATCGATCTGGAAATGATTCAATAACAGAAACAGACTTGTCATGTAATAAACGATTCCAAATGAAAAAGTCACGTCTTCCAAATCTTGACCCATATTCTGTGAGCTTTGATAAAGAATGAGGATGAATGAATAATCGTTCAAATGTATAGTACCAATTAGGAAAAGTCCATAAATCAAAGATAAAAATACAATAAATAATTTTGGAATACTTACTATCCATTCATCATTAGATTGATTGTATTTAAAAACGACATTCAGAGAAACGATCTCATAAAATGAACCAGATATCAGCACAATTTTATCGTTATTACATAGTTTTCTCAAACTTTTAAGCCTCATGCAAATGGAGACAAATTTAGCTGGTGAGGGATTCGTATGGACTTTGCGCGAAATGTCAGGCAAATTAATTGGTTCATCATCTTGAAAAGCATTTACCACGTCTGCTAAAAGGAATGTTTCTAATCGGTCCAGAGGCGCTTGTGCATGGTAACAATCCTTCACTAAACTCAATTGTGAATAATCGACGGATAATATTTTCTTGGCTACTTTTGGATTCCAAGGTTCTGGTTCAACGTTGTCAGTATTCAATGTTATTGTCAACTTGTATCCAAGTCTAGCGAGTAGTAAAGTGTTTGCTCTCAGTTTAACGTAATCATTGTAGGTAAAGTGTTGGTTGGGCTGTAAAGCTTGATGATCATCATAAGATTGGTAATAAAGTGTTTCTGAGTTTTGATAATCAATAAGATCCAAGGCTGAAAGGCTTAGATTGTTGTGATAAACGATGTCAATTACAAGTTGATCAAGGAAATCAGAGAAAATACTATCTGATGCCATGTCATATGAGTTGATGTAGTCAAGTTCTGGTAGCTTTGATCCAAATCGACTGCAAGTTTTAAGATGGAATCTGTCAACATTTAAATTTGTGAATCGGTGGATGATCATAGTCACTGTATATCACATCCATCAT